CGAAGTCGACGGATGTAGTTGCTGTCTTAACAGCCACCATATCTCAACATACTATAAGGTAAAAACAAGATTCTCTGATACAACCAACATGCACAGTCTTAATCGTACCTTATGGAGATGCTTTGGAGGATACAGAAACCAATACATAACGCAGTGGCATCAAGACTGAGCAAGGTGGATCAGAGGCATACTAATGTGATGGATCTGTAAAGCGAGGTCTACGTTTCCACAGTCAGGAACATTTTAACTCATACTCACTGTCAACCAACACCGAAGTCAAAATTTTCAATTCAAATCTCATGACTTTTCGATTATATGGGGCGGAAATTCGGAGAACTACAAAAGGCATCTTCCTGAAGATACAAGTATTTAATAAAAATTGCGTAATCAAACTTTTTCGGATTCGTTCACCGGACACAATCTGTAACTACCTACTATGGGAGAAAACAAACCAGATTCCAGCGAACAAAATTAAACGAAGCATATCGCCGGAGTTGGATAGGACATTCGTTGAAAAAGCGCACAACTGAGTGGTTGGACAAGCCCTCACTTAAAACCCTTATTGACAAAGGAAAAGAGGAAGATTAGTAATGGATTATGCCGAGAAGTGGAAAGAGACAACAGATGAATGGACGTAAATTTGACAGAACTGGAACGTCAAGCCCAGGGCAGAGTACGTTGGAGAATACTATTATTCGGCCTGGCGTATGTGAATAGACATAAGTAACGTAGATGTGTCGTTTCTGAGTGTAATCAGTGTCGTGGTACATAATTGAACGGGATATTACAAACGAGATGCTAATATTATTTTATAGAGATGTATTATTTTTTCTTTGGATCGACGGCATTTTTGAGCTTCCAGAGTGAGATGTTTGCATCTTTCTGTGCAGACGAGGGTATGGTTCTATTTTAACAATTGTCGGATGTAGTTTTTCCGGACACTTTCTACTCGTATCTTGTTTATGATGTTCATGTCTGAAAAGATATGTGAGCGAAATTCAAGCGAGGGCCTTATACACATTATAAAGGGTATAAGTGTAGCCTCATTATTCGAGAAGTCCTAAATTATGAAGAAATAATCGAAGAGAAGTATTCTTCCAAGTTTAGGTTATTGTATCAAGGAGTACCCAGATTACGCGCTAATATGAGTATCTGAACCCCATATTTTTGTGAGTAGAGTGGCATTTTATGGTGATTCTAATGTTGTTAAAAGGTGGCTGCCACGTTTTGCTCAAGGTAGAAAGATTGTTGAGGTCACTGTGAATCATGGTTATATTTTCATTCAAATCTTCAGGCTTATATCTGTATATTATTTTGAGATCATCCGCATATAGGTATGATCATCGAAATTGTATAGTTTTACATATATCATTTGTGTATATAAGAAACCAGAGCGGACCTAAAACACTTCCCTGGATAACTTCACTGGTTATTGGTGTCGGTGATGAAAAGCAGTAATTGAATTTTACCATTTGTTGGTGTCCATGTAGGAATGATACACTAATATAGTAGGTTATTCATTCCGAATGTCTTTAATTTGAGGAGAAGCCTTTTGTGTACGACCTTTTCTAAAGCTTTCTGAAAGTCAAACAATAGGACTAATACTAAGAGCCTTTTGTTTTATTTTTGAGTGGTATTATTGAGATAGTCTAGCATTCATCTATCGAAAAACCTGGACTTCAGGAACCCATGCTGTGATGTCAATATGAGGTTGTTATTAGGTGGGTATTATATTCCCGTTGTCTGTACTACTTACTCCATCGCCCTAGATTCTCATGAGGTAATGTTTATGGGTTGGTAAAGTTTCATTCCAAAGTAAATAGAGTGAACGCTAGCTGACGAGTCTCAACACAAGGAATTTCACAGGGTATCGCCTTAGGTCGACTCCTCTCATTTATTATCTGTTCGAAAAAATTTGCTCACTGTCATTTACATACACTGACTATGCGAAAACCTGGAGGTCCATAAAAACCAAACATTATTCAACTGAGCTGTAAACACGTATTTCCCTATGCATTACTCTTGCTCTCTCGTATCAGATATACTCGATGCGTGTGTCGAAACTTTTTTAATATTGTCATTTTCTCAGATCAATAACTGAATCTATCTCGCTTATGATCTCTGTTTTCTTTCCGTCGTTTACAATTCACTTCTCTGACACAATCTTTACTACCAACTTACTAACTTATTTATTCATTTATTTAGTTAGTTCAGAAACCTTTTTATCAGGGTTAGACTTTTCTCCTTGTTATTCTCCATATTTCAATTAGCTGATCTCCGGCCTGGATATCTGATAGTTGCTAGTGTCTAGATGTCCCACTAGCCTGAAACAAACTTACTCATTCAATTCGCGTGGCATGCAGACTAACATACAACTGCCAACTGACTAGAATAAGTTCAGTTGGGTAGCTAGACCATCATCGATCGGACACTTTCGAATATCGTAAACCGTAGCGAAAGGACAAGAATCTAGAGCTCAGAAATCAGTGAAAAACGAGGTTGGATATTAGATATTAGCTAAACTAACTTAGCGCTGATGAGTTCCAAAACATTTGGCTAACATGATGAGAAGCATGTGGGTAGTAAATTGCTTTAAATACTTCATTTTCATTTTCAGTTGATTGTGATATTAAGATTTGATTTTTCAAGGTCAACCGACCGCCAAGCTATTGCGAGGCAGTTTTCTATTTTCTGAAGCTGGTAGGTGTCTTAAATATATGTCGATCGTTTGTATACCTACATAAGAGAACACGGTAATGTGTATAACTTACTATCATGGATTATTCAGTGCTCAGCTCGGTTGGCAATTAGTTGATAAGACTGAAAGTTCACGTGAATAGAAAAAAGACATTTTCCCTTGTATAAAACTGTAGAATGTAACGATGCTAACAAGTCAAAAATATCTTAGTTGCATAACCTTGGTCTAGTTCGTCATAGGACTGATACTTATTATATTTACGTTTAAATTTATCACCTCAACGTGCTAATTATCAGGTTTATCCATCGAATGTCCCATACGTAAGATTTTAATGCTTCATGGAGTAACACTGATAAATTAACGAAATTCCATATCATTTGTCTTGGCTTACTTGCAATAATTCTTGTTTCGTTCGTTTGGTATTGGAATTAAAGATCAAGGTTTGATCAAAAAGTGAAATCATTTGCGTCAACACGACTAATTCTAAACCAAGTCATCCACTTTCTCTGACCATTGAACATCAACATTGTGTTGACCTCAACTAGTTAGTCCACATTTATCAGCACCGTTCAGAGCGAAAATCAGTGACTCCATTCGTTGATGCTTTGTCTTGGTTTTTTATCAGATCTATACCAGCAAATATCACCCATAGAAGTGGGTGAATAAGTATTGTTTCGTTCACTGTGCATCTGTCGCTGTCACATTTACTATTGATATCATACAGCTTGAATAATGTGGTCGTAAATATTACATTTTCAAGATCTAATTTGATTGTGACTAATTCGGTCTCGTGTTTTGTTATGAGTGTGGGACTGTATGTCACTTCCTGGCTACTCACATCTTGCAAGGGTGTTTCTTGAGGGAGCTGGAAAGGAAGTTGAACTTTTGTTGGTCTTAGAGACCTGGAAGCGTGAGTGCAAAGCCAAAGAAACAACTGCTTGAGGCCAGTCGTGCACTGTCTTTTTTTGGGAAGTTTGTGAAATGTTAGCTCCGCTCTTGAAATCCGTTAGATAAGGTGAGGTGTGATATTCTTAGGATCGACCTATTCTAACTCCTTCCTCCCGTTGTTAGGCGTCAGTATCATTATAGATGCTGGTTGTCTGAAGGAAACACCTTACTGCTGTCACACACACCCCTCTACAATTAGTAGTAAAACTTCGCCCCCAGACCTTGAGTTATTACTATTAGTCTTAACGTTTTCCAATCGACCTGTCTAGCATGATAGGACCTAAATATTGTTCGATTGGGTCACCATGATAAGCAAGCCCAACCACCACCACCACACTACGTTGTATTGTCAATAAGTTGGTTTACCTTTTGTTTTCACAATAGTTTTTCAACTGTATCTAATCTCTCTTTCTTTTCTTTTTTTAGTTATTCGTCTAATTCTAACATGTCATCAACATTGGATCATTTGAAAAAGCATACCAAGATTGTAGCAGACACGGGAGATTTTAATTGTATGGCCATTTAAATCTTTCTTTCTCATCCTATTCCACATTATTTGCAGCTATTAAAAAATATTTACCAATTGATTCAACAACTAATCCCTCACTAATTTTATCTGCATGTAAACTACCACAATATTCACATTTATTAGATAGTGCAATTCAATATGCTCGAGAGAAAAAACAGTATGGTTTCTTATTATTATTAATATTACATCGGCTTTCTTTTTTTATCTAGAACATTAAATGAACAAATTGAATTAGCATTAGAAAGAATATTTGTATTATTTGGTTGTGAAATTCTAAAAATTGTCCCAGGACGTGTATCCACTGAAGTGGATGCACGGTAAGTAGAGAAAATGAAAAACTAAAAACTAAATTTTTCTTGTTATAGTTATTCATTCAATGTAAAAAAACAAATTGAAGTAGCTTGTCGTTTAATTGCAATGTATGAAGAATTAGGCTTTTCAAAAGAACGTATACTGATTAAATTAAGTTCAACATGGGAAGGTATAAAAGCTGCAAAAATTTTAGAATCACAATATGATATACATTGTAATTTAACATTAATGTTTTCAATGTATCAGGTAATGTTTATTTTAAAAAATTTTGTTTTCTTTACATGAATTGAATTTTGATCTGTTTTCTTTCTAATTTCATTCACTGTTGGATTTGAATTGACAATTGCGTCTCTGTGTGCTGATGTTGTGGTATGGCAACTTGAACTGATGTACACAGACGTACGAAGTTCTGTGTTGTATCTGTCTGTCTGTCTGTCTGATTCATTCACGCCAAAGGCCTGGCCGGCGAGTTGGCCTACTACGTTGATAAGTTATGCTTTGTGATTTAGGGGTGGGCTGACAGATAGACAGATACAACGCTGAACTTCGTATGTAAGTACATCAGTTCAGGTTGCCATGCCCCATCAGCACAGAGACGCAACTGTCAGTTCAAATCCAAGAGTGATAGCAATAGTAGAAGTATTAGCAGTAATGGAGAAGATTAGGAAGCGAAGATATTATTCGAAAAGTATAATTCAGTGAGATAAATTTAGAAGGAGAAAGATAGAGATTATGAGGAATTCAGAAGGTTAGAATTAAAAAGCACACAAAGAGTAGATGCACCTACGCCATTGCAAACGATTCTGAGCCATGTCGTTCAAGGTCTCTAACCATCGGTAACTATCGTCTCGCCGACCTCAACCAGGTAGCCCACATCTACCAACCTGTCTCAGTCCACTTGTCAGCGACTTCATGGATTTCTGCCATGTTTTGGTTTGGCCACCCCTAGCTTTCTTCCAACCTGCTCCTAAATTGCAAAACATAGCTCGTCTAGGCAGTCGGTGGTTAGCCATACGTAACACATGTCCAGGGTCAGGGTGAAAGAAAGCTATGGGCAGCCAAACCAAAATGTGGCACAAATCCTTGAAGTTACTGACAAGTGGTAGATATAGAATACCTGGTTGGTGTCTGCTAGATTATAGTAACCTATGACATGGCTTTAAAATCGGTTGCAATGGCACGGGTTCATTTATTCTTTCGCTTCTCTCAAATCCTAACCTTTGGAGTTCCTCATCACCTTTATCTTTCTATTTTCAAGTTTATGTCACTGGATTATACTGCTTAAATAGCATCTTCGAACCCCAATCTCTCCGATTGCCGTTAATACTTCTACTATCGCTATCACTATTGGGTTTCAACTGACAGTTGCGTCTCTGTGCTAATGCGGTATGGAGACCTGAACTGATGTACTTACGTAAAAAGTTCTATGTTGTATCTGTCTGTCGGAACATTGTCCCAATCGCACAGCGTAGGCGATGTGAATTTATATTTTTTGATAGTCATCATGTGAATAGTATTTAATGGCATAATTAATTGATCTAGGCCCCCCAAAATGCTCGGGTACGTCTGATAATGGGGTGCTTCCTCCTCGCTTTTCTAATGTCTTCTTATGTCGACGTATATATCACCACTGCTACGGAAGTCTTACTTACTACCTCCTTGTGGCGGATTGTTGTTTACGAAGTTGAGAAGATGAAAAAGAGATGTCTAACGAAAACCCTAACCTGATTGGTGGTTATGGAGCATCCACCTAGTGCAGTTGAATGACCCTGATCACAAACCTGTCATGTACATGAGCACCATGACCTTGAAGAAAAAATTACGTACAAACTTACTGTTGGTCACCAACTACCATGGAACTGCATCTCTCGATGTTACTCCGCTACTTTATGAAATAGACTGTTCAATTAAAAGCTTGGTGAATGACCCCCTCTCACGAAAATACCACATTCTTGACTGTAGGCATCTGAACAGTATTCCAGCTTACTCACAGATTCAATAATGACACATAAAACCTCAAGTGCCTCTTTGTATCTGTTATGCTCGTCAATCGATATGCTTGAAACTGTTACAAGCTCACCTTAGTCGGTAAACGAGAGTGAAGGCAAATAATCCGAGCGTCTCACTGCCCCACTAAGTAGAGAAAGTAGTCTTGATATGGCGTCAAATGTGTATTCTAGAATCACGCAGAAAATCGATGTTGCCAAAAACGCAAATCGAATTTATTTATACATGATAGAAACGTCCTTCAGAGAGCTATAAAAATAGCCTACTAAAATAACACACCAACCAATGACAGTTAAGGATTCCCCGAGTGGGAAATATAATCTCCCAGGTCAACTGACCAGCCCCATGCTTGAAAACATCAAAAATCCAAAATTAGGACCTTTATATCAAATGAGTTCCGGGCATAAAAAGTCATCTAGTTAGAACCGTAATCAAGTATAGTATTTGAACAGTATTAATATTACGTAAAACCTAAGGCGAATTGAATAAGAATTTTATTTATTTCAATAATATAGACAAGGCATTCACTACTATACACTATACTCTTGTAAACACATTAAATCATATTGAAAACGTTTCACGTAATTTTTATCACGGGATACACGAAAAAATATACTCTAGTTTACCGGCATCATTAAAAATCACTTGAAAACAATGTGTGTATTTTCAAACGAAAATAAATGTGTCAATATTTTTTATATTTAAAACAATGATTTATTGATTAGATATGAAATAGATTATTATCTATGAAAAGGCATTGAAAAAATCCCCCCCCCCAGATTAATATACGTAATCTGTGTTACTGGTCAATTTAAAGCTTTGCAACTATACTATCCCGGAACTTAAGAACATTTGTAGTATGTGTGCTAATATGTTGAGTTCACAGAGCTTGTCTCAGCCTTTTGACGTACTAATTAAGCTTTTTTCCTTGAGTTATTATTCACTTGTCTTTTGACGTTGTCTATCACACACTAGTTATCTTGGTTGTTTTTACTAGAGTGCATAAGTAAGGCTGTTGTTTGGAAACGGGTCCTAGGTAAGGATGGCAGGACAATAGATAAAGTATTGAAACTGTATCAGTTGAGGTTGTTGGAACATGTGTTACGTATGCTCAGTCATCGAATGCTTCGTCGAGCTATGTTTTGTGATATACAGGTTGGTTGAAAGAAAGCTAGGGAGGCCAAACTAAAACATGGCAGAAATCCATGAAGTCATTGAGAAGTGGACTGAGTTGTGGTGGTAGGTGTTGACTACCTAGTTGGGGTCCGCGAGATGATAGTAATCGATGGTTAGAGACCCTGAATGATTTGGTTCAAAACCGTTCGCAATGGTGTAGGTGCATTCATTCTTTATGTTCACTTAAATCTGAGCCTTCAGATACAGTCGTCAATTCAAAGTATTACCGTTAATGAAGAAGATTAGGGTTCAAAAGTATTATTCAAGTGGTATGAACCATTGAACTAAATCTTTTAAAAACAGATAGATAAGGGTGATGAGGAATTCAGAAGACTAGATTTTGAGGGAACATAAACATTGGATGCATCTGTGACCATTGGTTACTTTCGTCTCGCGGACCCCAACCAGGTAGTCTACATCTACCAACCTGAATCAGTCGACTTGTCAATGAATTCATGGATTTGTACTATATTTTGGTTTGGACGCCCTTAACTTTCTTCCAACCTACTCCTACACCACAAAACATAGCTGAATGAGGCAGTCGATGGCTGGGCATACGTAACATATGTCCTAACCACCTCAACTGATGAATTTTCACTCCTCTATCTATTGACCTGCCATCCTTACCTAAGACCTGTTTCTTAACAACAGCATTACTTACTCATTGGTCATAGGATGTGATCGAATACTAATAATCTAAGAATATCCTCTACTCCTACCTTCCAAGTTTCACAACCATAAAGTATGACTGGGCGGATTGCTGCGCAGTTAACCCATCCTTTTGTTGATAGACGAATATCTTAGAAAAAGTCAATCGTGCCGACATTTCGTCACACACTAGATCATCAGCACTGACGGAGACTCCCAATATAAATAAGTTGATCAACACGCTCACTCCCTAACTTTTCACATGAACGGCCTTTTTATGAAGGGTTTTTTGAGTAATAGCTCCGCTCTTGAAAGACCTTAGTGGGCACCCTTACCATTGGAGACGGAAATCCGTGAGGCAGGGTGAGGTGTGACATTTTTAGGGTTGAACTTTTCTAACAGCATCGCTGCAGATGCTGGTTGTCCGAGGAAACACACCTTCCTTCTGTCACACCTCTCCGCAGTCATCAGTACGACTTCAACCTCAGACCTTGAGTAGCTGCTTTTAGTCTCATCGTTCTCCAATCGACCTGCTTGGCATGGTAGAACATTCAGGAACATATGTTCCAGCCAATATAGCTCTCGGTTGGGTCATCACGATAGGCAAGCCCGACCACCACATCAAGGTAGCAGCTACGGTCGGGTCATCAAGTAGAACTATGTGAACTATGTGTATTCTTAGTCATCAAGTGAACTCTTGAAAAGTCAGATGATGAAAGTGTTTCGTACTTATGTACATATATATATATATATATATATATATATATATTCTTTACTTCTTTAATATAAAACTTTTTTTCAATAGGCTATTGCATGTGCTGAAGCCAATGTCACATTAATATCCCCATTTGTTGGACGTGTATTAGATTGGTATACAATGAAATATGGTCAAAAACAACAATATACACGATATAATGATCCAGGTGTACAGCTAGTTAGTCGTATTTATAATTATTACAAAGTTCATGGATATAAAACACAAGTAAGTTCATTTTGTTTTTCTATTACGGGGTTTGTTGTGATGATTGTTAAGGTACACATTTGTTTTTTGTAAACAACCATGAATCGATCAGTGTTAGACCAACCACCATTAGAAACCTGGAAGCACTGCGGGACGGCCGTTTCGTCCTGGTATTGGACTGACTCCTCAGCAGTGCGCATCCACGACTTCTGCACCTCTCGCACGATTCGATCCCAGGACCTTCGGTATTGTGTGATGGTTGGGACATGTGCTGCGTATGCCTAACCACCGACTGCCTCGACGAGCTTTGTTTTGTGTGGTAGGAGTAGGTTGGAAGAAAGCTAGGGGTGGCCAAACCAAAACATGGCAGAAATCCATGAAGTCATTGACAGATGAACTGAGTCATGTCGGTAATTGTCGACTACCTCGTGGGGGCCCACGAGATGATAATAATCGATGGTTAGAGACCTTTAATGACATGGCTCAAAATCGTTCGCGATGGCGCCAGTGCATTTATTCTTTGTGTTCTCTCAAATCCTAATCTTCTAAACTTTTCTCACTGAATCATACTTCTTCAATAATATCTTCTAATCCTAACCTCTCCGATTACTTCTAATACATTTACTACCTCTTCTACTATTGGATTTGAATTGACAATTATATCTCTGTGCTGATGTGGTATGGCGACATGAACTGATGTACTTACATACGAAGTTCTACCTTGCATATGAATGACTGACTCTGACTGACCTTCGGTATTGTAGGTGAACGCCTAAGCATCGGACCACTAAGCCGGCATCTAACGATGTTCATGTCTAACTTGATCAAATTCACGGAGTTGCTCAACCTCATTCATACACAGTCTTCGGTAGTAGTTATTGTCTACTACACCCGAACAGACTGAACTTCACTGGTCACCACGTCTTCTCATCACTAGAATTCAGAGAAGATTCCTAACGAAGCTAGCTAGTCGTCTTCACTAGTGAGCACAGGTAATAATTTGCACTACGGGGTTGTTGTGAAGATTGTTAAGTTACACATTTGTTTTTTGAAACCATGAATCGATCCATGTTATTTTTAAACATTGATATTTATGTGTAAGCATATAAATAGACATACACAAACGAGACCATTATCTCTAATATTAATTAGGTCATGATTGTTATATAATACGTGATATTAAATTCAATAAAACTATTCTATATTATGTAATCATCATTGTGTTAGTTCATTTTTTATGAGTCACACCAGATAATCATTATAACAATCAGATTCGTATTAGGTTATTGATCAGTGATCAATAATGTTTTATGCTGCTAATTGTCTGTCTGTCTGTTCAATAATTATTATCGCGTATTTCTTTCTGTTTGATTGAATAGTGTTGTGTGCATATGATCAGTGTTAGTTATTTATTTCTCTCTCTCTCTCTGTAAGTGTGTGTGTGTGATGCATTTGTTTGTTGCGTATCCCAACTGTAGCTGCTACGTTGACGTGGTGTAGTGGTTGTCGGTTTGGTTTGCTTATCGTGATGATCCAACCGATCTATATTGGCTGGAATAGTTAGTTAGTTGTAACGTAGAACTTCGTACGTGTGTACATAAGTTCATGTTGCCATACCACATTAGAACAAAGAGACGCAGATGTCAAATCAAATCCCATAGTGATAAAGATAGTAGAGGTATTAATGGTAATGAAGAAGAAGACTAGGGTTTGAAGATATTATTCAAGAAGTATAATTCAGTGAGATAAGGTTAGAAAGAGAATTATAGAGGTAATGAAGAATTCAGAAGATTAGGATTTGAGAGAACACAAAGAGTGGATGCACCTGCGCCACTGCAAACGGTTTTCAGCCATGTCATTCAAGATTTGTGACCATCGGTTACTTTCGTCTCGCGTATCCCGACCAGGTAGTCTACATCTACCAACATGACTCAGTCCAATTGTCAGTGACTTCATGGATTTCTGCCATGTTTCGGTCTGGCCGCCCCTAGCTTTCGTCCAACCTACTCTTACGCCACAAAACATAGCTCGATGAGGCAGTCAGTGGTTAGGCATTCGTAACACATAACCCAACCACCTCAACTGATGAATTTTTACTACTACTTTATCTATTGACCTGCCATCCTTACCTAGGACCCGTTTCCTAACAACAGCATTGCTTACTCGGTTGTCCCACGATATACGAGCAATGCTTCTTAAACATCTATGATCGAATACTAGTAACCTACGAACATCTTCTACTCTTAACGGCCATGTTTCGCATCCATATAGGAGAACGGAGCGAACTGCTACGCAGTACACTCGTCCTTTGGTTAGCGAACGGATATCACGCCTACGCAATAAGTGACGCAGGTTGACAAAAGCCAATCGAGCTTTCTGTATCCGAGCTGAGATTTCGTCAGTCACCAGGCTATCAGCGCTGATGAGACTCCCATATTTGCTGGATTATATGTTCCTGTAGGTTTTACTATATCAAGCATGTCCATTGGAGAACAGCGGTTAGACTGAAAGCAGCAACTTGAGGTCTAAGAATGAAGTCGTTCTGGTGACAACAGTAAGACGTTTCCCTCAGACAAGCAACATCCGCAGTGATGCTGCCTTCTCACAACGGGAGGAAGGGGTTAGAAAAGGTCGACCCTAAAAATATCACATATCACCTTACCCCACGTGTTTCCATCTCTGGTGGTAAGATCTTTAGAAGAGCAAAGCTAACATGTTAGAAAATTCCTGTTAAATGGATGACTGGCCTGAAGCAGTTTTCCTTAAGTGTTTTGCGGTTACGCTCTCAGGTCTCTAAGACCAACACTAAGCTGAATTCCTTTTCAGGTTCTTCAAGAAATACTATTCCTTGATGTGGACAACCTGGAAGTAGTGTCATCCATCCTCATACCCGTAGTAGCACACGATACCGAATCGGCCACAATCGGTTATACTTAATAACTCTAATTTCTATCTACTCACAAGGAAATAAACCATTGATTTCAATGATAGCTTCCAACAGGGCTTTATGAAAATTCGGTTTAATTTTTAAGCTATATCCTTTTCAAATTAATCTCCGTTGATATTTGGTGTTGAAAACCAAACGAAGCTTTCGTTTTGCCCTAATATAAGAATAAGCACTAACAACTCTACCAGGGTTTGAACCTCAAGACTTTTTGCCGTATCAGGGCATTTGGGAGATTGTAATGTATCTACTCTTTTTCCTCTCCGAATTTTTTTCACTCGTAATATTCCATCATACTGACTTTCTTTTCAGTTCTTATTTTTGAATTATTTACCTAATGTTCAAATTTTGAAGCATTTCTCACCGAAGACACATGTGGATTAGGGGTTGCACAAGACCATGGATTGTTCGAATTTAAACATTACCATGATTGGATGTCGGCTAAAAATTGTCCAGAGTTTAGGTGTTCGCTCACAAGACCGAAAGTCCCATGTTCGAATCCTGTGAGTAGCAAGAGTCGTGGATGCATACTGCTGACGAGTCCTATACCAGGACGAAACAGCCATCCAGTGGGTTTCTCTAATGATGGTCTAACATTGATCGCTCAACTTACTTACTTACGCCTATTACATCTAATGTGGCATAGGCCATCGACCAGCTAATTATTTTGTCTGATTAGCGTTTTCTCTAGCGAGATGTGAAGTCACTAATCTCCCGTTGTCCAACCCTCCACTTTTACCGGGTCTTGGCACCGGTAGTAACCCTAGAAAGGCTTCACGCATGTTTATGTCTCTCAATATTGTCAGTAGAAACAATATTCTTTTGCGTAATTTCAATTGTGACATTTTATCAAGCAAAAATTCCAATTCAATTTTTTATTTTAAATGGCTACCCACACAGTCTTCTTCAGCTCGTATCGTCAAATTTATACTTTATTTGTTTAAAAGTAAATTTCTTTTGTTTTTAGAGAAAAAACGATGTTGTCCTTTTGACGTAATGCATGTGTGTTGTTCTGTCTCACTCTCACACTCTCTCGTTCAGTGAATTTGTATAATTCACATTGTGATTGATGATTATCGGAATCGATCATGGTCACGACCAGTAGTTGCGTCACACATCAATAATAAACATACTTTTGTTTACGTTTTGCCTAACATTAGTTTTTTAAAGTTACATAATCAATGTTTAGCTTTGTTTTTATTTTTCAAAACAATTTATAAGTAGTAGTTATCGAAAAAAGAAAAGACATGTATGTATGATACACATTTTTGAAAACATGAATCGATCAATGTTAGACGAACCATCATTAGAAACTTGGAAGCACTGGACGGCCGTTTCGTCCTGGTATGGGACTCGTCGGTGGCAGTGCGCATCCACGACTCCTGCACCTCTCGCAGGATTCGAACTCAGGACCTTCGGTATTGTAGGCGAACGCCTAACCATCGGACCACTGAGCCTGTATCTAAACGGTGTTAACGTCTAACTTGATCAATTCATGGAGTTGCGCAACCTCATTCATACACAGTCTTCAATTCTAAGCGTTCCACCCTACTTTGTGGTCTGTATAACATAGCCGGTAAGAGTAGAGCTTACGAGTAATCCAGTCTTCAGTGTTCTTGAAGCATTGCTCTTATATCCTAGGACTATCGAATAAAAAATGCAGTTGTTAGGAAAAGGATACTAGGTAAGGATGAAAAATCAATTTGATGACATGTGCTGCGTATGCCTAACCACTGACTGCCTCTACGAGCGTTTTTTTGTGGTTTAGGTGTAGACTGGAAGAAAGCTTGCAGGCGGCCAAACTAAAACTTGTGGTGGTGTTTCGTTCTCTGAGCTGGTTGTTTTGGTTGTGGAGCTTTCATTGTTCTTCTGAACAACATCATCAGCACAAACTTCAGATAGACGTGAAGCATTCGAATTTCTCCACGTTTGACCTGTAGCTCGTGTTCTGCTAACCTCGATCTTGATTGGTTGCTGTTGACTTTTGACCTGTCGTTGTTTGCAACTTTGTTTTGATTGCATCCTCCTTTTGATCTGTTTCTTGATCCTATGTCACCTATGATTTTCCTGATTGGCTCATAAATTGGGTCAATGTCGATGTGTTTGTTGATTGCTAATTGACCTGAGTGCCAAGCTTCTAAAAATTCTCTAGTGTTCTTTGTCCTCTCCCTACCCAGTATTTCCACATTGTTCCAATCAAATGTGTGTCCATAATTGTCGGTGTGTATTGATATAAGCGAAGCGTTGTCGTGGCGTTTGACTGCTAATTGATGTTCACGTAAACGGAGCCGAAGAGGTCGTCCACTTTGTCCTATGTAGTGTTTTTCACAGTTTGAGCAATTTATTTTGTCCTTTGGTCTACATAAATTGATTGAAGTGATTCTGTTGGTTTGTGTGCCACACCTATTGCAAATGGTTTCAGTAGTCGTGCCGTATGCTCCGATATGTCTTTGATGTATGGTAGGATGATGCGTTTATTTGTTCCTGTGCTTGATTTCACTTCTGATGATGGTTTCGTTTGATGTTTTTTGATGAAGTTGCGTGGATAGCCATTCTTTTGGAAGATAGTCATCAGGTGTTTTTCCTCCTTTTTTTTAATGCTTCGTATGTGCTGCAGTGTGTCTTCGCTCTCTTGAACAAAGTTTGTATGCAATTCATTTTGTGGGTTCTTGGGTTGTTACTATCGTAGTTGAGAATTACGTCTGTGTGGGTTGGCTTCCAGTTTTCCTGCGTTAGTTCTGGTGATTAGTACATCCAGGAATGATAGACTGTTGTTTGATTCCTTTTCCATCGTGAATTTAATGTCATCGAAGATGTTGTTGATGCGATTGTCGATGTTCTCCAGCTCATTCCTTTTGATAATAACGAATGTGTCGTCTACATAGCGAACCCACATTTTTGGCTTGATCACTGGCAGAATCGACGATTCCAGTCTCTGCATTACAGCTTCAGCGATGAGTCCTGATATTGATGATCCCATTGGTGTTCCTTTTATTTGTTCGTAGACTCTGTTGTTGAATTGAAGATACGTTGTTAAGCATAGGTCTTTCTTTATGGCTGTGAAACATGGCTAGTCAGAGTAGAAGATACTCGTCGGTTATTGGTTTTCGATTATAGGTGTCTTCGAAGCATTGCTCGTATATCGTGGGACAACCGAGTGAGCAACGCTGTTATTAGGAAACGGGTACTAGGTAAGAATGGCAGATCAATCGATGAAGTGGTGAAACTTCATCAGTTGAGGTAGTTGGGACACGTGTTGCGTATGCCTAACCAGCGACTGCCTCGTCGAGCTTTGTTTTGTAGTGTAGGAATAGGTTGGAAGAAAGGTAGGGGCGGCCAGACCAAAACATGGCATAAATCCATCAAGTCATTGACGAATGGACTTAGCCATGTCGGTAGTTGTCGACTACCTGGTTGGGGTCCGCGAGATGATAATAATCGATGGCTAGAGACCTTGAATGACATGGCTCAAAATCGTTCGCAATGGCGCCGGTGCATTTATTCTTTGTGTTCTCTCAAATCCTAATCTTCTGGGTTCTTCAACACCTCAAGTTTTTACTTTCTAAACTTATCTCATTGAATCATACTTCGTGAATAATATCTTCTCATCCTAACCTCTCCGATTACTTCTAATACCTTTACTACCTCTTCTACTATTGGATTCGAATTGACAATTATATCTCTGTGCTGATGTGGTATGGCGACATGAACTGATGTACTTACGTACGAAGTTCTACGTTGCAACTGACTGACTGACTGACTGATAGGTCGATGAGTTTAAGATTGTAGACAGCACAACTTTTGTTATGTATGGTATTAGACATAATTGTATTCTAGTTCATAATAGGAGACACGTTTTCTATTGTTTGTTGTTTGATAAAACGCATATTTTTTCAAAATATGGAATCATATGCGTATAAATCCCGCCAAAAAATATTTCATTTCAGTACAGACATCATGCTACTCCAATTCGTCATATGATATGCGCTTTTATTTCTTTCGAACACGTTTTTCAACTATGAACAATCATAAAAATGTGCTCACTAGTAGTGACAAGCTTAGTGAATAAATTCTCACAGTTCCAATGAGAAGTCGTGATCAGTGAAGTTTAACTCTGTTCAGTGTGAGGCAGTTACCTACCGAAGAAGACAATCAATAAGGTTGCGAAAATTTTTTAGATTGATTAAAGTTAGACATTAATTATTACCGATGGATGCTGCTGGCTTCAGTAGTTTAGACGTTAAGCGTTCGCTAGCGAGATCGAAGGTCTCACATGGTTGGATTTTCATGAGTGCCGGAGTCAGTCAGTTAGATGCAACGTAGAACTTCGTACGTAAGTACATCAGTTCATGTCGCCATACTACATCAGCACACAGAGATGTGATTGTCAATTCAAATCCAATAGTAGTAGAGGTAGTAAAAGTATTAGAAGTAATCGGAGAGGTTAGGAAGTATGATTCAGTGAGAAAAGTTTAGAAAATCAAAACTAGAGGTGTTGGTTGGGGTCCGCGAGATGATAATAATCGATGGTTAGAGACCTTGAATGACATGGCTCAAAATCGTTCGCAATGGCGCCGGTGCATTTATTCTTTGTGTTCTCTCAAATCCTAATCTTCTGGATTCTTCAACACCTCTAGTTTTGACTTTCTAAACTTTTCTCATTAAATCATACTTCTTGAATAATATCTTCTAATCCTTAGCCTCTCCGATTACTTCTAATACCCGTACTAGTTCTTCTACTATTGGATTTGAATTGACAATTATATCTCTGTGCTGATGTGGTATGGCAACATGAACTGATATACTTACGTACGAAGTTCTACGTTGCAACTGACTGACTGACTAGAGGTGTTGAAGAATCCAGAAGATTAGGATTTGAGAGAACACAAAGAATAAATGCACCGGCGCCATTGCAAACGGTTTTAAGCCATGTCATTAAAGGTCTCTAACCATCGATTATTATCATCTCGCGGACCCCAACCAGGTAGTCGACAATTACCGACATGGCTAAGTCCATTCGTCAATGATTTCATGGATTTGTGGCATGTTTTGGTCTGGCCGCCCCTAACTTTCTTCCAACCTACTCCTACACTACAAAACAAAGTTCGTCGAGGCAGTCGGTGGTTAGGCATACGCAGCACACATGTCCCAACCACCTCAACTGATGAAGTTTCATTACTTCATTCATTGATCTGCCATTCTTTCCTAGCACCCGTTTCCTAATAACAGCGTTGCTCACTCAGGTGTCCTAGGATATAAGAGCAATTGAGCGCAGGAGTCATTGATGTACATTGCCAATGAGTCCTATGATAGAACGTAACAGCCGTCCACTACTTCCATATTATCTAATGATGTGATGGTCTAACAATGATTGATTCATTGAAAAAACCCACAATCTTCATAATTCTCTCTCTCTCGCTGTATAATGAATATTACCGTTTATTTTTCTGCATTTTAGATAATGGGTGCTTCATTTAGAAATGTTGAACAAATTCTTGGTTTAGTTGGTTGTGATTTCTTAACTATAGCACCGAGTCTTTTAGAAGAATTAAGTAAAATGTCAGAAGATCCGCATTTATGTTTAAGTATTGAGAAAGGTAAATAATAAATTTATTTTTTTATCAGTTTGATATTTATTTGAGAGTGCAATTCAATCAGTTTTGATTTTTTTGAATATGTGAATCAGGTGAGATGATGGATAGTCGCTAGTGGTTGGATTTTAGGACTTGTGTGTAGCCAAATGTCCCTGCATCTTAGAGTAGTTGATGTTCATTCTAGGAGTAGCTGTCTAAACCCTGCGGATAAATGAACCAAGTGATAGCGTTTGGCGCGGACGTTACTGGGTTCAAGTCCCAAAGTAAACATCAACTCTAAGATGCAGGTACCTCCAGTCAATGAGTTTCAAATAGCGTGAAACTAAGTGTCTTAAACTCTAGGTCCCTTCAAATGCGTTGATACGGCTAATGGTAAGGAAAGTCCGATCTCCTTCATTCAATGCTCTCAAATGGACATGCGTGTATAGCCACTTAGAGCGAAGTCTTAATCACTGTGTTCTCGTGGTCGGAATAATGGTTATAATAGAGTTTAGGTGACGAAAAGCGAATGTCCGTCCGCAGCTTGAAATGATCTGGAGGAGTTAGAAAGCTCTAATTCCAAACCATTGGTGTATGAACTTATTTTCGGTCACGTGGTACCATAGAACTAGATCTCCTGATGTCGATATGTAGGTCAAAGTCTCGGTAACTGGGCCTCCTAAGAAATCTATCTGCTTGAACAACTGAACATTATCTCAGCACATACATACATTTGATGATAACCAGTCTTTGTGTCGTATAAATATTTATGTGCTTTAATCGGTAATTAAAAACTGGACCAGCCTCACATATGGAACTGTATATTATCTTTAAGAGATACTACAATGCTTTATACAGCATTCTAAACAAATGTTTTCCATGATTAATTACTTACGCACTTCTGTATAATGTACATTTACTATTTAGTGTTGTTATCTTTTGTGTATTCTGACTTCATAGAAAAATCTCACATAAAACAGAAATTAAAATGGTATATTACCAGATGTATCTTGAACACAGCGATCGATATGCACGTGTGTGTGTGAACTAATGTCCGTACACATACGAATTTGTCTCTTTTAAAAGATTGGCTAATTAAAAGTACCGAATAAAGACTGACAAATAGACTGAACCATGCGTAGACTACCTGGTTAAAGTCCGCGAGACACTCGTAACCGATGGTTTGAGACTTTGAATCCAATGGCTGAAGATCATTTGCAGTGGCTCAGGTGCACCCATTATTTGTCTTCGCTGATGACGTCATGATCTCAATACCTTTTCTTATCTCTTTTCACTGAAATATACTGCTTGAATTATATCTTCGAACCGTAATCTTTTCCATTATCGCCAATACTTCTTCCACCTCTACTACAATGAGATTTGCCATCGCTTATTATCATCTCGCGGACTCTAACCTGGTAGTTTGCACCTACCAACATGGCTTAGTCCACTTGTCAGTGACTTCATGGTTTGGTGCCACGTTTTGGTTTGGCCACCCCTAACTTTCAACCTACAACTACACCACAAAACATAGCTGGTCGAGGCGGTCGGTGTCTGGACATATGTATTACATGAAGTTTCACTACTTCATCTATTGATCTGCCATCCCTACCTAGTAATTGTTTCCTAACGACAGCATTGCCTACTCGTTGGTCTCAGGATATACTAGCACGTTTTGAAGTTATCTATGATTGAAAATCAGTAACCTAAGAATATCCTCTACTCCTACTGGCCATGTTTCTCATCCTCAAAGTGGGACAGAGCGAACTGTTATTCAGCAAACTCGACCTTTGGTTAGCAAGCATATATTTCATCTATGCCATCAGTGACACAAGTTGGCAAAAGCCAATCGAGCCTTCTGTATGCGTGCTGAGATTTCTTCAGAAACTAGGCCATCAACACTGATGAGACCATCCCTCCCAGATAAGTGAAGCGGTCTACACGCTCGACTTCTTTACCGTCTATCACTAGTTCTGGTGCTGATGCTAATGTGTTATGGCAACTTGAACTGATGTACGTACGTACAAAGACCTAATTTGTAACTCACTGACCTAACACAGTCTAGATTATGACAGAATACCATGCTGAAATTAGATACTGCTCTTTAATTGTCAATCGTACACTAATTAACCTTTTCTATGGAATGGGTTCGATAATCCCATGCTCAACTCTCCTCCTTTATCTGAACTTGGGAATGACAGTAACCCCCCCCCCAAAGCAAAGCTTCAGGCTAAGTCATTCTGACTTACATGACACCAATCTTTTGTTCTGTTATTCAGTTAAAGATGGGGGCCGACATGATTGACGATGACCAGTTATTGTGTAACTTAACAATCTTCACAACCCCGTAATGCAAATTACCTGTGCTCACTAGTGACTAGCTTCTTGAGGAATCTTCTCCGAGTTCTAGTGGTGGGAAGACGTGACCAGTGAAGTTCAACCTATTCGGGTGTATACGGTAACTGCCGAAGACTGTGTATGAGGTTGCGCAACTCCGTGAATATGATCAAGTTAGACATTAACACCGTTAGATACCGGCTCAGTAGTCTATCGGTTAGGGCGTTCGCGCACAATATCGAAGGTCCTGGGTTCGAATCCTGGGGGGCGCAGGAGTCGTGGATGCGCACTGCCACTGAGGAGTCCCATACCAGGACGAAACGGCCGTCTCGCAGTGCTTCCAGGTTTCTAATGGTGGTTGGTCTAACATTGATCGATTCATGGTTTCAAAATTGTGTGACCAGTCATTAATTATTTTCTTTTAAAAAACACTTATTTTCTCTTCCCAACCAACAAACAACATTCTCTACAGCTCAAACTGCTTATGATCATTCATATCAACCGGATGAACCATTAACTGAAGAACAATTTCGTTGGCAATTAAATGAAGATGAAATGGCTAATGATAAATTATCCGATGGTATAAGACGTTTCACTAAAGATGCCTTATTATTGGAAGATTTAATTAAAACACGTATACAACAACAACAGCAACAATCATAACAATCATAACTATTGACACATTGATCATGATTGTACGGCGTTGTTGTTGTCCCGCTTCTGCGGCTGCTGCTGTGTTTTTTTAATGCATTCAAATGTGGGAATACAATTTAAAATTGTTTTTTATTGTTGATATGCATAGCATAACGATGACTACTTGATCATGTGTATTGGCTTCTTTCTTTTCTTTTTTCGATTTGACATTCATTGATCAATATTATTATTTTGTTGTTGTTTAAATTAGTTAATTAGTATTTGATTAATAAAAATGTGAAAAAAAATCAAAATCTACAGTTCCTTTTTGATACAAACCTTCTGTTGAGTGTGGAGCAATGCTCACCGAAGACAGTGATGGTTGAAGTTGCGCAAGACCGTGGATTGATCGAGGTTAGACATTAGTATCGTTGGATACTGGCTGTGAGTGGTCCAGAGGTGAGGTGTTCGCGCGCACAGGACAGAAGGTCCTGAGTACGAATCCTGTCAGGTTGTGGGAGTTCTGGGTACACGTACTGCTGATGAGTCCCTGTACCAGGATGAAAGGGCTGTCTAGTGCTGTCAGGTTTCAAATGGCGGTTTGACATTGATCGAACCATGATGTCAATAAAGTAACTCAACAGTCTCTCCTTAATCCTATTAGGCAAAATGAAAATAAACTTGTATTGTGCTTACGAGAGATTTTTTGGATATTGTCGGTCGCAACTAATGCGACATTTCTCACTGGAACGACCTCCAAATGCTCTTATACAACCATGCATATATATAACCACTGTTATGGAAGTTCAATTCACTACCTTTTCGGACCCATGGTGTTCTTTACAAGATTGAGGATATAGAGAAAATGTCTACCATTTCAATTGAGTTAGTTGGTACAGAGGGTCGATCTAGACGAGTGGGACAATTCTCATTCTAAACAAATGATGTATATAGGCTCTACAGCACGAATGACTTGGGAATGTTTTGTCGGTCAGTAACTAAGATGCGACTGCAGTTCCTGATGTCGCTCCCATGCCTTGTGGGTGATAGCTGTTGATCAAAGGTTTGATGAGTAATTCCCAAAGAAACCATACGGGCAGCTTATTTACAAATTCAGTAATTAATGTGACGTATAAATATTTAGATGCCTATTTGTCTCAATGTTTATTTGTTTAAATAAGGAACGCCTGATTACTTATTTTTCGGCATACTCTTAGGAAATAACGAGTTTCACAATCTAAGTATTTCGACTGTGAATAGTTATTCGTTTGGCTGGTAATAATCGAATTTTCGGGAAGCAGTGAATTTTATAGCAATTGTTATTGGATTAAATTCTATGAATAGTTTAGGTTTTTCGTTATAATTTATTTAATTAGGCTGAGGATTTACTAATGTATAGTTATCAGTAAGTTTTGAATCAGTCAGTTGCAACGTAGAACTTCGTACGTATGTACATCAGGGTTCATGTTACCATACCACAATAGCACAGAGACGCAATAGTCGATTCAAATCCCATAGTGGTAGAGATAGTAGAGGTATTAATGGTAATGAAGAAGACTAGCATTTGAAGATATTATTCAAGAAGTATAATTCAGTGAGATAAGGTTAGAAAGACAAAGGTAGCGGTGTTGACGAATCCAGAAGATTAGGATTTGAGAGAGCTCAACGAATGGATGCACTTGCGCCATTGCAGACGATTTTGAGCCATGTCGTTCATAATCTCTAACCATTGGTGACTTTCGTCTCGCGGACCCCAACCAGGTAGTCTACATCTACTAACATGACTCAGTCCACCGAAGGTCCTGGGTTCGAATCCTGCTGGGTGCAGGAGTCGTGGATGCGCACTGCTGAGGAGTCCCTTACCAGGACCAAATGGCCGTCCAATGCTTCCAGGTTTCTAATGGTGGTCTAACATTGATCGATTCATGGTTTCGAAAATGTGTGTATACATTGATGTTTGGTTAGCGGTGTTTTGTAGCGAGTTAGTTTTCTACGGGATGGGGTCGCTAAACCCAATGCTCAATCTTCCTCCTTTATCTAGGCTTGAACATCGTCAGTAAGGCCAGAGTGGCTCCAGTCGGGGTGAACAATGTCTAAGACGTTCATAGAAGTTTTATAATTTAACAGACTAGTTCAATGAATAAAATGTCATCAAAACGAAATTATTCACATGTAATTACCATTAAAAATTGTAAATCACCGATAAAAAATTTACATTTTAATTTTTATATAAACAATCATAAAACTTGCTTAAGGATATGATTATATGTGACCTAGATCGATTAAAATTGATAGAAAACGTTTCAGTTTAATAAAAAGTTAACGGTTTAAATTTACTCAGTTTGTTTAAATGATCGTATTGATGTTTGATCACTCTCGTTTTAAAATATTTACTACATTTGAAGTCCTTTTCGGGTTACTGGCAGTCCTAACCCTGGATAAAGGAGGAGGGTTGCGCGACAGCGTCCCGTAGATGGTCAACTCGCTGAAAAAAAACGCTTACCAGTAATGTTCGGCAGCCTATGCTCCATTTGGGGTAACATGTGCAAGTTAATAAGTTTTGAAATATGTTTATCCTGTGTGAATTTTCTCGATATTGTCTTTAGGTTACAAGTATTATTAAACTAAGTGTATAATGGCTAGTAGGTGGAATTCAGGATGCATTCGCTTGAAACGCACATTTTTTCATATTTGCCTCGTGAATTAGCGGTTTCTTGATCTGCACTTTTTGAAATGTAAAAATATCATTGGTAGTTATCAAATGATGGTTATCAGAATGAATAATATACGCAGCACAAGAATCATATTGGAGAAAATTCAGGACAGATTGCGTAATGAAAAGTTTTGCTAAATTCCTAGTTAGCCAATGATAATATCATATGTCCTATTGTAGTGAACTAGAACACAGGTGGGGCAACCGAATTGTATTTAACGAAAATTACAGAGTTACTCAGTAAAATAGGAAAACCATATTGTAAATCGTTCATTTGCAAATTATCAGTCCATCCTATCGAACTGGACTGTTCCTGTTGCAAAACATCAATCCATTGTCACTATTCATGCGTTTCATACAAATTCGATTGTGTTCTTCTATCTCTTCCTTTCTTGATCTTCCCCCATCTTCTGCTGCCAGACATTACGTTGACACTCACGTCATATACTACTTATAAGTAGCTCACACAACACTATAACTAAAGATACAAATTACTAACTATGTAGATGAAAAGTAGTGTAAGAGTTTAAACTTATATTTTTAAGGGGAAGATAACGAACAGCTAATATCGATTAATGCTTATTTCATTGAGTTGGCGCTCATACAATAGTCAAAGTCCATCGTCACACTAGCTTAGTCGTAAGTGCTTTCTTTCGGAGACGTTAGATCCCCAGAACTCACTTGGAATTTATTTCGGAAATCTTGAATTTCCATGTTTTCGGCGTCAGAGATGCTCAGTTGACCTACAGCTTACATTTCCTCCTCCGGAAATCCTTGAGTGTCATCGGTTTTCTGTGTGCTTGTAGAATACACTTTCTACGCCTTATCAAGACTTTTTGATCTAGTTAGTTGGGCCTTGGACAATCGTATTAGAATAGCTTATCGTGTCACACTGTATCGTTGATTGTGGTGGTGGTGTTTGGTTCTCTGAGCTGGGTGTTTCGGTTGTGAAGCTTACATTGTTCTTCTGAACAAAATCATCAGCACAAACTTCAGATAGGAGTGAAGCATTCGAATTTCTCCGCGGTTGACTCCTAGCTTGTTCTACTAACCTCGATCTTGATTGGTTGCTGTTGACTTTTGACCTGTCGTTGTTTGCACCTTTGTTTTGATTGTATCCCCCTTTTGGTCTGTTTCTTGGTCCTATGTCACCTATGATTTTCCTGATTGGTTGGTAGATTGGGTGTTTTTTGATTGCTGATTGACCTGAGTGCCAAGCTTCTAAAAATTCTCTAGTGTTCTTTGTCTTCCCCCTACCCAGTATTTCCACATTGTTCCAATCGAATTTGTGTCCATAATTGTCGGTGTGTATTGATATAAGCGAAGCGTTGTCGTGGCGTTTGATTGCTAATTGATGTTCACGTGAACGGAGTTGATGAAGAGGTCGTCCACTTTGTCCTATGTAGTGTTTTTCACAGTTCGAGCAGTTGTTTATTTTGTAGATGATATTTGGTTTTTCTTCCTTTGACATTTTGTCCTTTGGACTACATAGGATTGATTGAAGTGATTGAAGGATGCAATCAAAACAAAGGTGCAAACAACGACAGATTTAAGGTCAACAGCAACCAATCAAGATCGAGGTTAGCAGAACAAGCTAGGAGTCAACCGTGGAGAAATTCGAATACTTCACTACCATCTGAAGTTTGTGCTGATGATGTTGTTCAGAAGAACAATGAAAGCTTCACAACCAAAACACTTAGCTCAGAGAACGAAACACCTCCACAGCCATCCACCTGAGCTACAAGTTTTCTCCACTGTATCGCTGATCTTCGTTCCATTTACCGAGTAGTTTGTACTCACATTATCAGGAAGCATATCACTTTCTATCACCCTGATGGTGTATATTCAAACCTATACGCATTGATATTACGGACTAACTGCCAGATTCGAATAGTTTCAACTATATTTTTAACTGTAATGATTGATTCACACGTTGGTTAGTAAAAACATCAAAATTGTATAAACGTTTCAGTATTCAAGTAACAATATGTATGTATCAGTTATACCTACTTAGGCATTAGTAATCATCGATTTAAAGGTAGTGGGGCACCGGAGATGATCATAACGGTATACAAAATAACTTTGCCAAGCATAAGTCTGAATAATTGAGAAAATCAAGAGACGTTGTCACAGGTGGAGTTCAACGATGACGGTTGTGAAGCATTGTCCACCGTAGATCATGAATAAGGTTGTATAAAACCGTGCATTGATCGAAGTTAGACAATAACACCGTTGGATACCGGTCAGTGAGACTGAACGTCCTTGATTCGATTCGATTCGGTGGTGAAAGTTGTGGAGACGAACCGCTGGTAAGTCC